GATGGGTTAGTATGCGATGGAGGTGTGCTAAGGGTTGGGTCTAGGGAGGGGAGGGGGTGGGGTGCGATGGAGGTGAGAGAAGAGAGATGCACAAGGAGGGGAAGGGTTGGGATGTGATGAAGGTGCGTTGGGGGTTGGGTCTATGGAGAGGAGGGGAGAGAAGAGAAAGGCAGAGAGGAGAAATAGGTAAAGAGAAAAGAGAAGAGAGAAGAAGAAGGAAGGAGTGGGGTGCGATGGAGGTTGGGTTCAGGATGGGAGAGAAGAGAGGGGTAGAGGAGAGGGAGAGAGAAGAGAAAAGATAAGGAGCTAAAATTACTAGAATACCCATGTCACGTCAGCACACTTAACGGTTTTGTGGATGGAAATGAATGGAAGTAGTAAAGTGAGAAAATTTCAGCAATTTTTAAAGATTCAGGGGTTAAGTGAGAAAATTTCAGTTTAAAGGGTAAAGTGAGACCGAGCATGTTTAAAAGCACCTCCACCCCAAAAGGTAAGGACAAGGCAAAGGCAAGGCAAGGTTTGTCACTATTCATGTGAATAGTGGCAGCCCTTGCCTTTTTGTTTGCACCTCAAAGTGCAAGGGCAAGAGCAATTACTATTCACATGAGATATGAGGAGATGAATATGTATAGAGTTTTTGGTGTGGAAAGTAAAGAATATGACTAAGTATTTATAAAAAAAAATTCTTGAATTTTGGTTTTTTTTTTTGGTTGCTAACGTCATTATGATATCAGCATTGTGTCACTTTGCCCAAGCAACAACTCGGGCTGAATTTGTCTGTGGGCTTGCCTGGACTCGTGGCACCCAACCCTTGCCCAGGCTAGACTTGGTGCGCTGGAGTTGCAATTTGGCCCTTGGACTCCTTCCTACTCGGGGTAAGTCACATGTGGTGGACTTGCCCTAAGAGCATCTCTAAGGGAAATATCAAATACCAAACATCAAATTTAAATTTAATGGCTGATGTGGTGATTTGACATCTTACACAGGTTTACACTCCGCCCGATATGTCAAATTAAATTATTATTTTTTTACATTTTAGTGTTGATTTATTTTTAATTAAAAAAAAAAGAAAAGAAATAATAATAAAATATTCATTTAACATCTTGCTTTTGGTATGTCAAAAATAACATATCAACCTCCAGCCTTCATTCCACATCAGTTTTAACACATTGATTGGAGTGATGTGAGACATTATTTCTAGCCCTGAAATGCTTATATGGCACTAAGAGCATCTCCAAAGAAGATGTCAAATACCAAACATCAAATTTAAATTTAATGGCTGATGTGGCAATTTGACATCTTATACAGCTTTACACTCCACCCGATATGTCAAATTAAATTATTATTTTATTACATTTTAGTGTTGATTTATTTTTAATTAAAAAGAATAGAAAAGAAAAAATAATAAAATATTCATTTGACATCTTGCTTTTGGGATGTAAAAAATAACATCTCAATCTTCAGCCTTCATTCCATATCAGCTTTGACACATCGGTTGGAATGTGTGAGATGTTATTTCTAGCTGTTAAATGTCTATGTGGCACTTTTGACATATGGGTTGGAGATGCTCTAAGGGTGAAATAATAAATAAGCCTCAAGTAAAAGACCCTTCCCCGCTTCTCCGCCTTTCTTACTCTCGGCAGCTCCCCGTTCTCAACCTCCCACCGCCCTCACCAAAACAACCACAGCCACCATTTTCTTTCTCCCCTTCTCTCTCAACCACTCTCTGAACCCTACCAACTGCAAATTCCAATGTTGCAAAATCTAACCAATTAGTGATCAAGACATCAAATTTCCATGGGAAGCAAGCACTAACCCACAACCAGGATCAACCAGAGACGGAGAGAGAGTGAGAGAAACTTGAATGTCGGCTGGCGAAGCTTTTTTTTTTTTTTTGGGTTTGATTCATTATTTAGAGCTGAGTTGTGGGTTTTGTGAGTTTCCCAATTCCGATGGAGAATAGTTCAGCAATATCATGCCCTTCAACTCCTCGCTGGAACTCCGAGAGGCCATTCCTCACTGGCCGCTTTCATCAGGTCCCTCTAATGTTCTTCACTTCAATTTTCTCTGTGAGATTTGCGAATGCCAGTTCAAAATTTTCATTTTTGTTTCAGGAAACCAAAACGACGTCGCGTTTCTTCGATACCAAGGGCTATTCCGTGGATTCCCTTAGGTATACATCATGTCACATCTTCATCCATTTACATTTCTGGTCATACTCTTCTTCTTTTTGTCTTTTTAATTGAAAAAGAAAAACAATATTTGAAATTTGCAGCTTGGGATCCGAAAAGGCCATTGGTTGTTACAATGCTGCTGTTCAGGTGAGTTTGAATTTGAAAATGGAACTTTACAATTTTGGATGAAAGGTAGTCGTGCTTATGATGGTTATTGCACAAGTAGGAACTTGTGGTCATCGATGACCTCTTGTCTGCAATGGTTGGGATCCAAGGACGCTACATTTCTATCAAAAGGGCCCATGGAAAAGAGGATAATTTCACCTTTCAAGTTGATGCATCCATGGATTTAGCTCTTCAGGTATGGATTGGCGCAATCTCTCTTTTGTTTTAGACTTGGCACTTTAATATTTATCACTTTTTTTTGGGTACTGAAATGCTTC